TTCTCTCTCCCTCTACTCACCTTCTCTCTTAGGTTTCATCACCTTTTAGGGTGTTTCTACCGCAGATCCTTTATTAAAAAGATAGTGTGAGTCGAGGGCTTCCATTTAATCTGAACGTTTGGTGTTTTGGAGCACTTTGGAATTTGGGTCTTCATCTCCGTCTTCTCCATTCGGGTTATTTTCTTCGAGGTAGGGATTTCCTACTCCATTCTATAAGTTTTGTTCTAAGTTTTGGTATTTTGATATGTTGGGGATACTTTGGTAATTTTGGGAAAAACCCTAGTTGTATTAATAAATTAATTTGTATAATTAGTTTAAGGGAATTTGGTTAAATTCATGAAATTGAGGAAATTCATTGATTAAATGGTGTGGTGGGATAATTTAAACCACTCGCCTAGTGAATTGTTGTTATATTTATTTCCAGTCTAGAAATAACTGTTTTGGGCTATCGGTAGAGGATAGTCGTGATTGTCGTAGACATTGCATGTGGATTAGGAATAACTGAAACTAATCACATTGGTTAAGTCATTAATTTTGACTATTGCATTAATACAGAAAATACGTGTATTGATACTAAAATGTGTATCAATCTGGAAGTATGAAGTGTTTTGATTTGAGCTTGAGTCTCATTTGTTTGTTGATATTGGAAGAATGTGAATATGATATATATATAATTCGCTGTTGTAAGTTTGGCCAGGTTCTGAGCCATATTGATAATGTTGGAAAGTAAAACGTGTCTTAGACATTAGTGTCATGAGACTGTATAATGATACAATTGATTATCTTTGTTAACCATCTATTGAATGCTATTGCTTTATTCAATGCTTATATTTGGTTTAGTATATTTCTACTGGGCTGTGGCTCACCCTTTATGGGAACATCATTTTCAGGTCCAAGTGATAAGCTACCTCCCAGGACTTAGCTTGGAAGGATTTGGATTTTGAAAACTATCTTTAGTTGTTTGTTTTTATTTGATAAATAATCAAGCCTAGGACTTTATTTGTATTTGAGTTAGAACTCATATTTTGTATCCAAGTGTTGGCTTGGAAAGATGTAAGCCCATAGGGCATTTAATTTGATGTTACATGTAATGTTTTTATTTAGTAATACTCTGATGAATGAATAAATAAATTGTTTTCTTAAAGTAATGCATGTTGATGATATACATATAATGGGTTTATTTTGAGGGCGTCACAAAGAACATACAAATCAAATATAGTATTGGACACAGAATTTATTAATCAAAAAAAAATTAGGTATGGCCAAGTTATATTAAAACATGTATTCTATGTTTCATTTATTTCTATTTCTAGAGTTCCAAAAAAATAACAAAAAAAAAAAGGAAATGCAGGCACAATAGTGACTGTTGTGCCTTAATTTAAGGTGTATTATGGGTTTATTTTTATGATTTGAACCATTCTTTTTATAGGGTTTGTTGAGTACTTCATGCCTACCAAAAATCATATTAATCGGATATCAATAATTATATGATCGAATTGCATATTTTTTATGTTATTTCTCAGAAGAAAAACTTATTGTTTATTTTTTTTGGTTATCGATCATTTAGTTATTGATATCCGATTAATATGATTTTTCGCAGGCATGAAGTACTCAACAAACCCTACAAAATGAACGGTTTGGATCATAAAAATAAGCCCATAATACACCTCAAATTAAAGCACAACAGTCACTACTGTGTCTTTAGCACACCAGTGACCCCATATCCCAAAAGAAATCACTAACCTTGTGATCTACGAAGGAAATAAAAACATTGAAAAGGTGTGCAAATATCATTACTTATAGGGGAATTTCTAGGAACTTGATCAAGTTTTCTATTACATTTACAACCTCAAAACATGAGTATAGCCAAAAGATTATAGAATAGTAGATTAGGGTATGAATTTTGTGTATAATTTTATCTCTACCAGTGTATTGATGAAACAACATCCAAAATAAAATTAAAAGGAAAAGAAAAGCAGTGAGAAAAATAATAAAGAATAAATAACAAAGAAAATATACAAAGATGACACATGTTGAGCTAAATCCAACCCAACAAGGTCTCTTCTACCCAGCAAATGTTGCAAACCAATGAGGAACAATTAAATAACGCTCCAAAAATAATAGAAGAATAAAAAATAAAAACCCAAAAGTATACATGGGTAAAAAAAAATAATAAAAGAACATTTTATCTTCACATAACCAAGAACGAAGAATCAATCAAATTTTGCAAAATTTGCATAAAATCTATTATCTTCCTTCACTTGAAGATGAATGGTAGTTCCAGCAACGGCAATAACTATGTAGCCAACCATCAAGAATAATAATAATAATAATAACAAATTTAGGATAGGCTTTAACAGATCTCTTTTCATTTGAAGCATGGAAAAGCATTTTTTTTTTAATTTCCAAATTATGTTGTATGTTAGTTAGATCATTAGTTGAGATGTTTTTTTTGCTTTCCCAAACCAAGTCAAGAATTGTCTAATTCACGTGAGAGTGAGCTTCAAATAGAGATTCCAAATCCAATGTTTAGTAATTACTCCTAAGCATACGACAACACACCAACAAAAGGAACAACATGAGGGTTCAACTAAACAGAAATTTCTCACATGGCAACCAAAGAAAAAATAATTCTTGATTGATTTTGAATGTCACGACACAACCAAATGATAGTTAAAAAATCTGTGAAAAGTTGCAACTTAAATTTTTTTCCAAATGAATCCAAACAATAGCTAAAAAATCTGTCAAAAGTTATAACATAAATTTTTGCGAATGAATCCAAATGATATGTACCAGACTCAAAATTATAGTTTCAACACCTAACCTGAAGAATTCCTCTATGTCAATTTCTGGATCAAAATAGCATCGCATGTTCTACATGCCTTGCCTGCACCATAAAATCGATGAAAATACAAAAATATTATTAGTTAGTTATTCATGTCTACAATTATGTAGTTGGGCTAGTCTGCAGATACCGAAAAACTTTACCAAGACATATTTAATCTTTTCATGGAGTATTTGTAGATCAAAAATATAATACAAAACCATTAATGTCATGAGTATAACATATAGGCATAATTTTTATTTATTTATTTATTTTTATTTTTTTTGTGTAAAAATCGATTTGGGGATGGGAAAGTGGAAGTATATATATCAATTTACAATTGGAAAAATCAAGGTTAAGTGATGTGCTTATGTACCTTGTAGAAAGGAAAAATAAATAAGTAAAATAATAATAATAATAATAATAATAATAATAATAAGCCAAATCTTTCAAGTATTTTTTTTAATATTTCCCTAATGTAATCAAAGTATAATCTAAAATTTTGTGAAAAAACATATTATATTCAAAACTCTCTACTGGGAGGAATGATTATCATTTTTTGCACATATAACTCTCTTTCAGGTTTAGAGAACTCAAAAAGAGAAAGCAAAGCTTGTGCATTTTTTTAACCTTTCTATGACTAATATTGCAATTGGAAGGTTTTATATTTCTATTAACATCATAAAGCATGAGCGAAATACTTAGTTTTGACTCAAATGAGTTTCAAGTTAGTTCTGGTAATAAAACTTAGTATTAATAAAAATTGAATATAAATCATAAATGTCATAAATTTACCACTATAAAGTCTTAAAAAATTGATAGAATTCCTAAATAATATAGATAACATAAATTAAAAGATAAAAAAGACAACCATTCTAAGTTAAAAATATTCTACTCACCAAGAAAAGTAAAAACCAACTAAAAGAAATATATCTAGCACGATAATAACACAAAAACTAAAATCATAGATAAGTATTGAAGATTTATAAATATTAATATACAACTCTAAACATTACCTTCACATCATGAATATTTATTTTAAATACCTACAAACTAATACGAATAAATTTAAAAACATATAAAAAGGTCGAACCAGAGAAACAACAATTAACATAACAACATAATATGAATAGAATTTTTTGCTCCCAACAACCTTATAGAAGAAAAAACAACTAAGAGCATCTCTAGCCCTTACCTTTTACCCATATAAGATTGAATTCCAGAATAAATACAATATAAACCCTAAAGATATAATGATAAAGAAACCCTGATTTTATTAGGTAGGATCCCAAAAAAAATCTCCCCCTTTTTTTTTTTTTTTTTTTTTTTCTATTTCCGTTGTATCTTCTTTAATCGATTTAGGTATAAAACATCATATTATTATTCAGTTGGGATTATGATTTGAGCCCCAAAAAAATAGGTAAAATTAGGGTTTGGTCCTCGCAATTTTTTTTACAACTCACAAAAATTATTTCAAAAAAACTACTTTCACAAAAAGAGGAACGATAAACAGAGAAGAAAAAAAAAATTTTAAATTAGATATTGTATGTACGAAAACCCTAACTCCTGAAAAGCGAACTTGAACGATGGGAGAAGGGAGTGTGACAGCTTTGGTCTTCCTCTGTCTCCTTCGATTTCTTCTCTCTCTCTCCTCTCTCCGTCTTCTCTAGGGAACACAAGTGTCACTTGTGTTTTGTTGGTCTTGTTTTTAGGCTTTATAAGTAAAGGGGCAAAATAGAGAGATCGGTGAGAGAAGAGAGGTGGGAGGAGGGCGAAGGAGATTGGTGGTCGATGAAAGGAGAGAGGAGGTGGTCGAATATCATCGTCGGTGGAGGGAGATCATCATTGGAAAGAGAAGAGAGGAGAAAGGAGGAATCTCTCAAACAGATAGAGAGTGGGTATACTATGGATCTTTTCATTTTCATAAACAGCTATGAGCAAACAAATTTCGAAGTCAGTTTTCCATCAATACCCTTGCATCCAAATAAGAAAAGTTATAAAGCATAAGGGTAAAATCAACTTTTCAACCATTCAGAAAACACTGTTCATCTTCAGCTGAAAAAACTGTTCACTTTGGATCCATGCTTTATATATATTGTATAGAAATGGGTAAATTAAGCTCACCCACTTGAAGCTTGAAAAAAAATAAGGTAAATTATAAATACATTCCTTAAAATTTTCTTAAAATACAGTTTATTACATGTGATTTAAAAAGTTACAAATATTTTTTTATCATAAATTACCAATACAGAGTGATGGTACAGGACTGAGGGCATAGGGAAAACAAAAATCTGGTAATTTCCATGTACAATATATCTCATCAATTAAACACTGATATCCATAATTTGGTAATTTCCTGTATATTCAAATTACAAACATAGTTCTAACGCATATTGTCGCCAAAAAATGTCGTAGTTCCTTGTAGATCGCACGCGCGCTGCTCACACTCCATCTTCCCCCACCTTGCATCTACTCGCTCACAGGGGAATACCAGCTTACCTAGGCTGTTGATTACAGGAACAAACAAACCACAAATTAGGACTACACTAATTTTCCAAGGCAGTAAGACGTTCTGGTTTACAAAAAATTAGGGCTCTGACTGATAAATTGGTCCTTGAGAACCAGCACACAGGTGTGGTGGGTAAAATTGAGGGCTACTTACAAGTCACAAAGCAATTTAATGGTCTTATTACCATGTAAAAGTGTTCACAATATGCTGTCAAGTTAGGCTGTCATTGAATCTGTATGCTCAAAAAACAAGAAGATTGTACTGATTATAAACATGTATGTTACCTTCTGTTAACAACATTGTGCGCATGGCATAACCATTGGGAAAACTCAGCTTGAGATCCAGCCTGGACAGGATTTGCTCTGTCAAACACCAAGTTTATTCATCAATTAGTGAAATTGTCATATACAATCTGGCAACCAGAAGGATATAAAAGGATTCCTTCGTATTTGTTAGCATTTTCTTTTATCGGTGTTTTTCCCTAGGCAGTTCAAGACCCAAAACCATCTTACAGAGTGAAGTATTGCAACACAAACTGGAGACTCGGACCAAAAATGATGAGGAAATATGGAATGTCTCATTTATTAAAGTGATCAAATGCTCCATCCTAGACATGCTATAATAGCCGAAAATAAAAAGCCACGAAAAAGGGGGGAAACAAAATAATGCACTGGCCCTGTTTGTTTATCGGATATAAAGGCCAGATATGGGTGTGGGACCGGATATAATATGAGGTGGGTCCCACATGTTTTTTTGCCTCCTATATCCCATGTTTGGTTGTTCCGAATATAGGAAATCCAGATAGTATACGATGCAAAAGAGGGATATGCAATACTAACCCCCCACGATATTGTATATCCCCACCGTCGGATAGGGCTCACCTTTTATCCAAAAGTTAAAAATTTCTTATTTTATCCTATATCTTGTCTTAACCAAACATAGTATAAATGATCCCACAGTATGTATAATCTATCTCATTTTCATCGTTAGATATTACATATCTTCCTAAAACCCTTATATCCAATCTAGACAGTCAAACAGAGCCTTTGTGATGCCCATGCTATTATAAGTCCCATTCTGCACCATAAGATTCCACTTTTAAATAAAGGGTAAATTATAATAAATCATTTTAAAGTATAATTCATTTGTATTTTGACTTCTTAAATTTTAAAATTTAACAATTATTCATTAAAAATATTATCTTATTACATTTAATTATTCTGTTAAGACTCTATTAAAAATTTACACAAAATGAGATCAGGTGTAAAAGATATAAATTGTTTCTAGAAGAGGACTTACCAGGGTGAGCTAATGATGAGAAAGAATTAGTTAAACACCACTAGGATTTATCATCAATAAAGACGACTGAAAATTACTAGCTAGCTCATATGTGATATCTGTAGCATGGACTAATAAAGGAACATCAGAGTAGAAGAAAGCACATCTTGATGAAGGTCTTGAGGCTTATGTTTCTACAAGTAAGAATTAGTTTATGATGATGCAACGATTCCAACCGAAGGATGGGTTGGGCTGATCCACACTTCCAACAGGTCTGCTGGCCTCGGTGTTTTCCAAATGAGCCTACAAAAAGGTATGGAGGGGAAAGGGATTTCCCGACGGACTCTCCGACGATCAAGTTAGGTTAGGATAATGGGTGATTATAGATAGATAGATGAGACGAAGGAAAAACTTAACTTTTAACGTATCTCGAAGGTTTCCTTATATCCTTTGCTCATCATTTCCTTGTCATTTTCAGACTATTTTGTTGGCTGAAAGTCTGTATTCTAGCTTGCATCGTTCATGGTGAGTCTACCTCCTCCGACGTGAAGGGGTTGTTGCATTTAATGCTACAAGAGCCTTATTAATGGCTGATGTGTGGGTACAATAACTTTATAGGATTTTTATCTGCCTACATGGCTGATTCCCTGCTCGACAGGAGTTTGAATGCTATTAGTCCTGGTTCATCATTGGTTTCTCAAGGTTACTGGTTTTAATATCTAATTCGTGGGTTGGGTCCTGAGTCATGGGCCGGATCCTCTTGGGTGCCCATTATGTTGTTAGTCCTGGTCCAGTATTACCTAGACTGTGGGCTGGGCTCTCTTGGATGCCCATCAATATCAAAAATTATAAACATTTAGGAAAAAAGAGAATAAAAGGAATAGATGAATATCGTTCCATTTTCCAAGGACCTATCTTCTTTATCATCTCATTTTCCCACATTTCTGAAAGGATAGCACTGAATATCACGCAAAACCAAAAGCTTCAAAACCTCATCATTCCTTAATACGGACAATCTCATTTAACAAAAACCAATACTATCATCCCATTTTCCCATATTTCTAAAAGGATAGCATTGAATATCGAGCAAAGCCAAAAGCTTGCCCTCATTATTCCTCACTAGCGCTAATGACACTACAACAAATTACACTTTTATAGTCATCAAAATCATTTTTTCTTTGGTAATGGGTGTGGCAGATTTTCCCTGAAGAAAAGACAAAAATGTATTTGGAAAAAAAAAAAAAAACAGAACTTCCTATTTTTCAGAGCAAAGTTGGTATAGGAGCCAAAAAGAAATGCAGTACAATGTTGTTTTAAGAGAAGGATCCTTTGTACAAACAAGTGGCGGTAGAGTAAGAGCCTCACAGGACTCCACATTTTCAGTTAGTATTCCTCATCGTAATAAATTTTATGCAGCTATTATTATTTAGACTTAATATTTAAAACAACCGAGTCCGACAATAGATCTTTAAAGTAAAAAATAAAAAACCCAATACTCTATATGTATTGTTGCATCACAAGAAAATTGGTAATCTCTACATAATGTAAAACAATAACTTTTAGAAGAAATGTGTTCTCCAATGTTTATCTCGGATTGTTGCTTTTTGGATTTACACTCATTGTTCATATTACCTTCATCATGCATGAATAATAATGTTTTAGTAGTACTTCAATCGAAACAATAATAATAATGTTTTAGAAACATTGCTATTGGAGACAATCATGATAAAATACAATTCCATTCAACAAGTTCATTTAGAATGCAACCCCATCCAAACACACTACCATGCTCCTCTAAAATGCATTGAATTAATGAAGACTATGATGCAAGTTTCAAGGCATCAATAGTTGCGTATGACTGCAAATTGGCTTGACATAAACAACGAAATTGTATGTCCTACCTAGAGTGGCATCAACCCGCAAGCCTCATTGCCCTCCCATCAGCAAACAGGAGGGCACTATTAAAAATGGAATTATGAACTAATAATGTTATTTTGCTGGACATAATTGGAGTGAAAGTGACGTTTAAAAAGAGGGAAAGATCTGTTTGGGAACTAAAATTGTTGTGACAATAAAGAAAATAAGGAAGGAAGGAAGGCATGATCAATCCAGATCCACTTATTCTTTCCCCAAAAAAGTGGAAGGATTTGGCAGATCAGGATAAATTAGTTTGCAGTTGATGGCTTTGCCTTTGACCCTTTTTTTCTAGTGGTTTCTAAATTTTCCCATATGACTCAGAAAATAAAATATTCCTATCTTTTATTTGGTTCTTCATTCATCAAAATGCTTTCACTCTCATTGTGTGCCCTTCCTCTCTCTAAACATCCAAGCAAATAGATGGACCACCACTCTATTTCTCTTTCTTTACCTTCCTCCCCCATTTAGCCATCCATTTTTGCTTCATCTTCTGTCTAAACTCCAAAGGACAATGTAAAACAATATCATGAAATAAAGAAAGCAAGCTTGAACACAAAAGGGGCTAATACTAATTTCAGCCCGAACACTTGGAAATTATACAATTCTTCACAATTAAAATTCAACTTCAGCCCCCCTCAAAAAAAATAAATAAATAAACTCAAAACACGAATATGTTAACAATACAAACAATTCATTTCAGACTCTCCATTCAGGACTTTTATCGAACAGTTACAGAGCTTCATGCTTCAGCTCCCTATCTTTCAATACCAATCAACAAGAACACTTGAAATTATGGACTTCAAGCCGAATACAATGAAATAAGTAGATTTAGAATGAAAAGAGAACTGGGTACCTCATTGAGGATCTCCTTTGGTTGGAAAAGAGTAGAATGTTCGCTTGCGATCAATGGGTTCGCTTTGAAGGACGAAGAGAGAGAAAAGAGAGGCCGCCCATTTGTGGGTGATGGGTAATTGTTGTTTGTGAGGCAGGCAAACTGGGAAAAGTAGATTCGAACGCCATGAGAGATTTTCTCGAAGGTCTGAAAGATAGCCTGCAATGGATTCTCTTTCTCGGACATGGAATCGGAGCCGCTTTGGTAATCCGGCGCTGCGACCGGTATTTATTTATTGAGATAGCGCTTTGCATTTTTATTAGTATGACTTCCATCCTTAAAATTTTATTTTAAAATTTATATCATTTAGTTACAAAATAAATAAATAAAATAAGAAAGTTAAATATATCCTTTTTTTTAAGGTTTAAATTCTATCATTATTAAAAAAGTTAAAAACACCTAAAATTAAATTTTGTCAATAATTTATATATAATTGTTAAAAGGGCTAAATTCATTTCATACCCCTTTAAAATTCAAAAAATATTAATGTGAGACTCAGAAAATCCTCTCACGTGGATTGTAGAGATCCAACGAAGAGATGAGTTTTGTCCCATAAACCTGCAAAGATAAACATGGTCAGTGCCACCCAACCGGGGTTGCCAACCAAAGACACTCCGATGATAAAGTTAGCAACTTGAATCCAAGAAAGAAGATAAAGAAATGAAGAGTATTGAGTGTGCTGTGTGGTATAGAAATATGAGGCATACCTCTACTCCTTGGAATGCCCTCCTTTTATATAAATGGGGGGTGTTGGTAGATATTTGTTTGGTGGGCTTACTTGTTGGTCTTGGCCCATTTTTAAGACTTGTTTGGGTTGGACCCAAGTGAGCTAGTTTTTTTTCTAGGCTTCCACAATTGCCCCAAAACTTTCATTGTTTGTAGTAGAAGGAATGAGAGTTTTTGTTGCCAAGCTACGCTGGTCAAATAAATGTTAGGTTACTTGATAAAGAATACTTTGGATAAATGAATGAAATGAATGACTGTATGAAAGCATGTATACTTGAATGTATATATAAATGTATGTATGTTTTGCTCTGAATTTGGAGGCTTTTGCTGATGGCGCTTCGTGCCGAGCACAAAGGGCGTTCTGAGGTTCCGTATTCGGAGGCTTTTGCTAATGGCACTCCATGCCAAGCATGAAGGGCGCTCCGTATTTGGAGGCTTTCTTGCTCCGCATTCAGAGACTTTTGCTGATGACACTCCATGCCAAGCACGAAAAATGCTCCGTATTCAGAGGCTTTCTTGCTCCGCATTCGAAGACTTTTGCTTCAATTTCAAACATTGCAAGGATATTGAATAGGGTATCTCGTGTCGTTGATTGCCTGTAACAAATGATGTAGACTTGGTGCTCACAA